GTCATGGGTTTTAGCTGCAGCTGTTGTAGGTCAGATGATGTGATATTATAAATAAAAAAGGAGGTCAGATGTGTGGGTTTGAAAGGGACGTGAAAAAAGGCATGTTCAGCAGCGTTAGCAGTGAAGGGTAATGAGAACATCATCTTCTCAGGATATCGTGGCTGGAGACATCGTGAGTAAAAGAAGCCTTTGGGAACAGAAGGGCAGTCCCAAACCTGAGACTAACATCAAGGTGAGTTGGTATCTGTGCAAGTATGAAAGCACTTGTTCTGCTGTGAAAAAGAGAAGAGCTCTTAGCTGCCTTGGAAATATTGGGAAGATGGTGATGCTCTGTAGGGACAAGGGCTGCCTTCATCTATCAATGCAATTGCATACCTAAGAGCTTTTCCTAATAGTGAGCTGCTATAGCTTCAATCCTAGTAGAAGTTGGGGCAAAAATAATTTTATAACCAGTAATACTGAAGGGTCTCTTGTTCTTAGGCCATGGGTTGGGATCCTCAGCCTTCAAGGCTAAAATTGAACAGCAATTCTAAGTTGCTTTGTTCTTATTATGCTTTTTAATCTTGAGAGTAAAGAAAGCATGCAAAATTAAATGGAACAGAACCAAAAGCAGTATCAACACTGGGGGTTTTGTGCCTCCTGGTACGTTTGTGGGAATGCCTATTTGAAATGTAGCAAGCAGCTGCTGCTCAATCTGTCCAGGCTGGGAGAGGAAGGTGAAGGTATTTTGTCTGTTCCTGGACTGGTACTGCTGCTGGTATGTGGTAAATGAAACTGGCTGTTGCCATGGGTGAAACCAAGGCCAGCATGGGGGTCTGGAGGCCTTAGACGAGCCCTCCCTGGTGATGCCTGGCATTGCATCTACCCTTTGTACACCTGTGCTTGCTGCATTGCCTTGCACAGACTGATGACCACTTTCTCCAAGTGTAAAGAGTTTACATGGAAGGGGAAGAAGGGGAGTACAGAGCAGGCTGTCTCCAAGCCTTCTGGGATTGCAGACAACTATTTCACATGCTCCTCTGGCTTCAGTTATTTAATCTTGACTGCCTATTTGAGGGAGAAAACTGCTGACTTCTGCTTTTTCTTTTTCTCCTGTTCAGTCCACTCCTGGCAAAAAATATAAATTTGTTGCAACAGGCCATGGCCAGTACAAGAAGGTGTTGATAGATGATGCTGCGGAGCAATAGTATGCCTGGAGAACTCATTAGCCAGGTAGGTGGGGTATGACCTTGCACTGTGTAACAAACTCCTGGTGCTGTTCTGGCGGGAGGCTGGGGATATTTCTGCCAGTTACACTTTGGGGGAGTTGGAAGGTACTGTGTGGTAACAGCTGGAGCCTTGCTTCTGGGCAAACGCCTGACTTTCTGAGCTGGAAGGGAGTGGGTACACAGTGGGGGTTTGTTTTGGTCTTTGACTTTCTGAGGCTGCTAGGAAGCTGGATACCTGTGTTAGTTTAATCTGCAGAGTAAGTCCCTTAACTACTGCTGTTTGGGTGAGGATGCTTTTGCCTTTGCTAGTTCAAAGGAACAGTCTATGTGCTGCTTTTTCTTATGCTCTCTCATGTTGCAAGGAGAAGTAGATAGCTGGAGGTCATTCTGACTGAGCATGGGGGCTGATGTACTCCTGAAATTCAGATGGTTCTGGGGTCTAATTCCTTGATTTACTGAATTAATCAGGGGGAAAGCTTCTAATGATTTCAGTAACCTCTTGGAGCCAGTCCATAATAGGGTTGTAGTAGGGAGGACATAAACACGCAATGTGCTGGGTAGTCTAACAGAGCAGAAAGGACTGTCCTCTGATGTGTAGCAAGGGGGAAGGCAGAGCTGGGTTGCTGGGTGCCCTCTTGAAATGGTCTTTGGATCTCATGCTCATAGTGTGTTTGTGTTAATAGATATCCCGGTGTTATCTTGAGTGGATAATAGTAGAGGGTTGCAGCAATAAGGAGGAATGGCCTAGAGGGAGGTGGTAACTGGTTGGATCCAACCAGGCAGCATCTGGCACCGCGAGAGGAGAGGAAGTTGTTTGGGGTGAAAACAAGCTCACTCTCTTTTTTTCCTACTATAAAAAAGAAGCTTTATTTCATAGCCAAGCTTATAAATAGCTCTGTCTGCTACAAAACACCTTTTGTTTCTGAATTCTTCTGGGCGCTGTGTTCCTTTTTTTTTTTCCCCTCAAGGAGCTGGCTTCTGATTGCAGCATATTGTTTTGTTTGGGTTTTTTCCTTTCGTTGTGCCCATTTAGAAGAGAAGCTCTCTTGAATACCCCTTTGAGATGGGCAGCAATACAAACCCAAGCCTCCCCAAATCTATGTTTTCAGACATAAAAGAAGAAGGAACCCACTGAACTTGTATCCTCAACTTGCTTCTCTGCCTGTGGTTTGCAGAAACCTATTTAAGGTCTCACCTTTGATCAGTCCTCTTCTTTTTCCTGAAGTCTGTTTTGATGCACCAGGTGGGATCCTACTGAGCTTCAATTCTTTATAGCAAACAAGTTCTGTGAAGTTGTCAGCAGGTGGCTTTTCCCGACCTGAGCTTCTGCAAGCAGCTCAAAGGAAAGTGCTCTTTTTCCAGCATCCTCTCTTGAAAGGCCAGCAACTGTCATGGCATGTCCTCTAGGATCCACCCAGTGCTACAGACAACCACTGCATAGCACTGTTGCCCTATGGGCTCATTCACAAGGAAGGTTTATTTGATTGTGAATAGCAAAATTACTGTAATAGCTTGGAGGATTTTGGCTTGGTTCTGTTCTTGGGGTTTTAGCTGGCTGTTTTGTGTGCTGAAAAGTCCCTGCTCCTCAGCTCTTCTCAACCCCATTGAACTACATTCATCCCTTTTCCCTACTGATGTATTCCTTCACGGCTGCCTTTTTGCTCCCAAACCCTTCTGGCTCACCCCTGTGTCACTTGCTCAACACCACCTTATCAGCTTTCTGGTTGCTTGAGAACAGGTACAGTTTTTCCCTCCCTCCCTGTGCTGCAGGACCTCTGAGCAGGCTGCGGAGCAAGAGGCTTTCTGTAAGTGGCAATTTGGGCTCTTACCAACTGCCTGAGGCTGTTTGACATTGAAAAACAACTGAAGTCTGTCCAGTGGCATTTTCCTTCCCTCGCTCAGCATGGTGGCTCACGCTGGGACATGCTGCAATGGCTTCCAATGCAAAATCGCTGGTGGAAGTCTCCTCTTACCTCCAGGCATCTGTTTTCTCCAATGCTCTAGTGCCCAAGTCTGTCCATGCCTGTTGTATGCCTCCACCCATTGCTCTTTGGGTGGAAGGATGTAGCCATGCAACCAGACCGGCCTTCCTCTGCTTCCTGTTGTGGGCATTGCTGTCCTCACTGGCAATTCTCCATCTTCTATCCTGTGCAATGGGGCTGGGTTGTGGATGCAGCCTGGTGGGAAGCCCGGCAGATGCAAAACATAGGCCTTTCCTCATCGCTGGTTTGTTCTCCATGGTTGTCCTCACTGCAGGACAAAGTGGATTAAAGCCCAATTGCTTCTGAAACCATCTTCTTGGGCCAGATTAATTTAGTCTCCCAAATGTAATCAATATTGGCTGTTCTGCTTCATGCTAATGCTGTGGATCATAGGAATGCAGATTCTTGCGCATAGGCATCCAACTATCTGCACCATTTCTAAGGTGCTATTTTAGCACTGTGCGGTGAGGTCATTTTTGTCTGCATTAGGTGTTCTACATGTTTTAAGCTGCACTCTTTTTGATTTTCTGTTGCTGTGTGGATCTTTCTCTATAGCCTTCTCTTGCAGCATGTTGAATTATCCTGCAAAGGCTTCCCTGGCATCCACTTGTGATTACTGCTGCATTTCCAACCTACCTCTTTTCAGCATTTTCCTGGAAAACTGGAGAAATCCAAACTTTAGATACTTGTGTTATTATTCCTTCTCATTTTTTCCCTTGGAATAGGGAAGGGATTAAAAAAGAGAGCATAAGATTTCAGCAGCAAAGTGAAAACTTCAGTGATGGTTTGATTATAACTGAGCTTTACTGATAGCATCATTGCAAAATTGGAGGACTTCAAAAAGGCAAAAGGGTCTCTTGGTTTTATTTGTAAGTCTGTTTGTGGTTTGGCTTGGGGACACTTTGGTCAACTCTGTATCCTCTGCACATGAACAGAATGTAAAGAGCTGTGTATCAAATTTTCTATTTGGACTAAATACAGCAATCCTGTATTAGCTGTGTAGGAATAGCCCAGCAAATGACAAAGTCCCTTGTGAAACAGAAATAGATGCTCTCCAGCGTTCATGTTCATAAGCTGGGTGGTGGTGGAGATTCAAAGGGTGACTGTAATACTGGAAAGCACAGTTGTCTCTTTGGATGGACAGAGTTGGGGATTTTGATTTAAATACCCCTTTTTTCAGGACATCAGGCACCAGTAGGTATGCAACTATTATGATGTTGCCTCTCGGAAATGAGACTACATGTGGTCAGCAGGAACCCCCAGAAAACGGCACCTTGTTAAATCCAGAGCTGTACACCCATATGCTGAATGAAGCAGAATTTTGCTGATTATAATGAAAACACTAACTCCCATCCGTGCTTTAAAAAGCACTGTAAAATACATAACAGAACTTGATTACTGCAACAAAGTTAGTCTTGTGTGTGCTACAATTTAGTACCCTGACCTAGGAGGACATCAAATAGTGTTTTAGGCAGGGGAACTGCTATGTGACAGCAGGATGGTTATCTTATGCTGTCCCTTGTCTGTGCCTTGGGTGAAAGGATGAGTTTCCACCTTGTTCTCAGCGAATGGGCGTAAGGTGTCCTCCTCAGTACTATCAGTGGAGAAGCTAAAGAGATGATGTGTACCCACTTTGAGTTCAGTTTCTAAGAATCCATACAGGAGATATGGAGCAATGCAGATTCCTTCGTGTTGTCTCATCTACAACTGCTTTTATTTCTAGGATTTCTCTCCTTAAATAAAGACAACAAAATAAATTCAGATTCTATCATCCTCCTCTAAACTGAGTGTTTTCTACAGGCAATTTATCCTCTTCGCTGTGTGGCTCCCCTCTCTTCCCTGTATTACCACATACAGTGCTTGTTGGCTCTTTTTAAAAACAAGTGCATGTCTGTTTTCCTGGCTCATGACCTCTGAATGTGGTATGTTATGCATTTAAGCTTATATAGATATGGAGAGTAACCCTTAAATTCACAGCATGAGGCTGCTGGCTTGGAGGGGTTTTATTTAATTTTATTTTTTTCCTTGTGCTTGGCTCTGTCAGGCAGTAAACCTAGACATAGGTGCTCTTTTGCTTGGTGCCTTGTAGGAACCTCCAGAGGATGTGGGTCTGGTGGAGCAGCCTGGCTTCAGTTGACTGACCATCCTGATGCTGTTCTGTTAAAGCTCTTGGTGTGCTCCTCAGCTACTTTGGGTCTAAATCGGCCCACCTCGAGCACAGTGGTGATCTTTGTCATGGGTTTGGCAGCCAGCTCCTTCAGTTTCCGAGCGTCAAAGCGTGGCTTATGTAGAAGGATGGGTAAGCGGCGGGGAAGAAAGACGCTTTCTTCCTTCTGCAGCTTCTTCTCTTCTGCTTGCTGCTTCTTTTCTTTGTTAACTGTCATCTGGTATAAAATAGCATCCCACATTCTTGTGGCCCTTGATTTAAACAGGCTATGGTCTTGACTGATGATTGCTTGAGAGCTGTCTTCCTTGCTCTCTTCCTCCTGTCCCACCTTTTCTGACTTAGGCTCTGGGAATTTGGGTTCTTCTGGCTGCACCATCAAGTGCTTCCTGAGGCGATGCCAGCCACCAGCATTGGCTCCAGGAGGTTTTGCTGCTTCTACTGATGGTAGTGCTGGCTCAGCTTTGAGGGGCAGGCTGGTGTTTTGTAAGCTGCAGGTCAAGTGAGGTTGAGTGACATGTTCTGCCTTGGTGTCTGTGGAGGTGGTGCCCATGCTGTCAGCTTCTGCTATGGTTGCTGTTTGCGGGTGTGCTTTCCTCCAAGGAGCACTGGGTGTTGGTTTTATTAGGATGTCACCATCTTGCTTGGGTAATTCAGGAGCTCTCTCTGATCCAGATATTTCCATGTCACTTCCATGGGTTGTAGGCTTATTGGTGTGTGAATCAGAGGTGCTGGGCTTTGGTGAAGGGGCCTTGATGGACTCTTCAGTAGGAACAGGCTTGGGGTCCTTAGGAGGCTCTGCCTCTGCAGCAGGAACGAGAGGAGGCTCCATTGTGGGAGCCGTGGCCTCGCTGTCATTGAGCTGGACGGCTGTCTGCCCTGGAGATTGTTCACAGCAGCTTGTTTCAGCTGCTGGAGAAGAAGGCCTTTTGTCTTCATGGCTGGTGGTTGCTTGGGTCTGGTTTGATGTGGGTGTCTTAGCCCTGGGTGGCTTGACACTGTGGAAATAAGCGTGTACCTTGGTGACATAGGTAACTTCTGGTGCCCTTTCTTTACTGGGTGTACTGGAAGGAGGTGGCTGGGGGCAAACAAATATGGAAGGGTTGCCTGGAGAGGGAAGTTGGATGTCTGTGCCTTCAGGCTGCTGTGGAGTCTCAGGAGCACTTGGCTTGTGTAGCATGGGCATGGCCGGGGAGGTCGTGATCCTGAGGTGTTCGGCAATGCGCCTCTGCTCAGTCACCTTCAGTGTGAAAGGCTTGCTCTTCCGGAACGGGGAAGGGACACGGTGGGTGACAGGCTTGATGGAGAGGTGGGTTGGGAGGCTGGTGGAGGGGGGTGCTGTAGTTTCGGGCGTCTCTGCTGGGGGAGCGCTTTCATTGTGCTCTAGGTCAGGGCTGGCCTCATTCACGGGTGAGAGGCAGGACCGAAAGGGCTTGGCTTGCTCTGAAGCTAAGACAGCATTTTTCTTGGCTGCCTTCTTCAGCAGCCGCTGGAGCCGCAGGTTGTCCTTTCCAGGCTTTGGTAGGGTGGGAGGGGGAGAAAGGTGGTGGCGGATGGGAGCAGGCTGGATGGAGGATGATACTGTTACCAGCATTGTCATCTCCTGGAAGAAAACACAAAGCTTAGAGTTGGCCTGGTCTTAGCCCTCAGCTAGACTCTGACGTATTCATATATAAGGCCTCCTCTTCCTCTATCCAAAAGCTGTGAGTATGGAGTCAGTATTGTGGGAGAAGAGCATCCGTCTTGGTTCCCTTAGCCTCCCAAGGTAGCCTCAGTGAGTCTTGAGGGTGGTGTAGCAGGGCAAGGGATGTACTGGGGGGAAGCTGTATTGCCGAGCCTGGAGCCCTCCTGCTCCTGGCACTGTCACAAAATCCAGAGAGAGATCCTTGGGACCCCAGACATTCATGTCTTGGTGAGTCCTAACAGAATTTGGAAGGAAATGTAAAGAGAAACAGAGCAGGCCTGAAATTTTGAAGCTTTGAAACATTCTCCACAAATCAGAAATATTTCCTGACTTCCTGAATTCCAGTTATTCCAGTTATTAATACTCTGATATAATGTTATGTGCAACAGAACAGCCATGAACTACATGTCTCATTTGAGTCAAAGTCAACACTGACCCTGAGCGATTTCAGCTGGCAGAAAGACATCCTGGTGAAATGAAGGACTTAAAAGGTCCATTTATCTGATAAGAAAGTGCTTTGTCACAACACTAACTCTGACTGGTGTTTCTTTGTTGTGTCAAGCACAGTGGCAACCTTCTCTTTCTGCACTAAATTTAAGATAAATCCTAGTCTTCTCTTTCTCTGGGGGAGCATTGTCACTGTCCTCACCCATTCTTCAGTGAAGCAGAAATGGGTTGTGGTCCGAGTTGGGTCTTATCCCCAGTGGTAATTGTAGCTGCACCCCATTTGGCCAACTCTGTTCCTAACTCACCACCATCTCCTCTTCTTTCTGGTGAGGGCCAGTTGGATTTCCTACAGTTGAGCTAAAGGCTTGTGTTGGGCATAGAAAGATAATACTAGTCAGTTCTCTTATTTCCCTTCCTGAGCAAGGCTGGGGAACACCAAGCACCCAGCCTCTGACCTGCCGTAGCTCTTTGGCAGCCCCAGAAAAGAAATCTGACTCTGTCCTGGCTCTCACTCAGCACAGAGTTGCTGAGCTTTGCTATGAAATGAGGCATAAATCACTGAGCCCCTTAATCCCTGGTGCTGGATGCAATTGAGCATCCTGAAATGAGGAAGGGGATGTGGGGTGGTGTCAGGATTGCTCAGAGGGGCTATTGCCTGTGCTCTGCTCAGTTCCTGGTGGCTCCCAGCCTGCTCTGATTAGTGCAGATGTGTAGTGTGATACCTACTGTGTGGGAAAATTATTCTGAATAAAACTCTCAAAAGCTCAGAAGAGCTATTTGCACTTGAGTGTCTGGCATTGTCTTTGGGCTTGCAGTGCTGCTGTCAGCGCTGGGCTGGGAAGCTGATCTGTACCAGGAAAGCAGATGGCATATCTGCCAAAACTCATTGTGGCCGGGGGGAAAGAAGGATGACTTTTCTTGGGGGAGAAGCAGCAGCAAATGAAAGCACTGAAGAGGTGGCATGTGGGGCACAAAGCCTTCAAGGTCCAGCCCTTACCGTGGTGGACAAGCTGTCCTTCAGACCAGAGGCTGTGGTGGGCAGGGCCTGGGTAGTGTCTAGCAAGTGGTACACTGCTACCGCCTGATGCATTTACTTCAGCTGCAGGCATGAGAAATCTCCCACTGTTTGGATGAGGGGCTCGGAGGGGATTTGTGCCAGCTGGGGGTGTGACAACTGTTGGGCATTCCCAGTGGCTTATCAGCTTCATGCCTTAGGCACAAGGCTGGGATTAGGACTTGCTCTATTCCAAGAGCTACTCTTAGAAACAAGTCTGCCCCGGCCCAAAAAAAGGCTGATAGCCCATTCCTTCATCATATACCTGCTCTCTTTCCCAGCCTTGTGGATACTCTAGATTCTTCTGGACCAGAAAGCCAAAATGCCTCATTTGGAGAGGTATATACTTGCAACACTACTCTGGTTCTGTTTGTATAGGACGTGGCAATTGCTTGGGTGATTTTTATCTGCTGCAAGGTGAGCTAGTACATGCCTCTGATGTTTAGATTGATTGTGCAATAATTTCATCTGCTTCTGTTTAATGTGGTTGCATGGACAGCCTGTACCACAAGATGAGCTGTGGTCCAGCAGCGCTGGTAAGCCAGAATTATAAGGCTGACCTGCTTCGAGTTTGTTGTGTTGGGAATACTAAAGAGGCAGGGCAGTGAACTTCTAACTGCTGATCAGCTCTTTGAGTGATTTACTCATCCTACGGACTGCTGCATCCCAGAAAAATGCAGCTTCTCCCACACAGGTCAGAGCAGGATCTTGCCTGAGACTTGCTGCAAATTGCCAGATGCTGCTGAGGAGGGCACAGGGGTTTTTGGAGTGGGAAGTTTAGATATAATCTGCACGCAGCAGGAAAAGCTTCCCTCCATTCCCAAAATTAGATGTGGCTTTGTGCCCTATAATCTCAAGACCTGTGGTATCTTACAATAGCTTCTGCTCTTAGAATCATTCTTGTTACTACCTCAGCATCCCAGCTGACTTGGAATCTGCTGTGCTGTGGGTCTTGGAGACCTTGTGGGTAGTAACTTCCATGGCATGTGACACTGCCAGAATCTGTGAGTTTGACTACTGATGCAGAGAGATGCTAAGAGACAGCAAAAGGAAATTAGCTCTTAATTTATTTGCCTTCCCTGTCATCCTTGCTTTGAGTATCCTTCAGAGCTTTGTGTGCTCAGAAATTCTGCAGCAAGTGAGACTTGTGAATGTCTTCCCGTTTGCTGATTAAGGGGCAGATGGACTGCTTTATTGCCAGCAGAAAGGCCAGAGCTGAAAAACGCAGGGACAACAGGGAAAATACTACCTGAGAAATTTGGGTGGGTTTGTGATAAGCTGGAAAGAAATTAATCTAGAAGCTGAGTCAAGAGGCTTTCAAAGGGTTAAGTTTCCCTCCTGCTGATTGAGTGCCTGTGGGTGGAGGGGAGGTCACCCACTCTTGGATCCTGACTGTTCTCCTGGACTCTACTCCATCTGCAATCAACCCCAAACTGGGAATGGTGGGGAGAGTTTCAGCATGGAGGAGTCATTTATCATGCAATGGAAAAGTCATTTCTGCTCTGGAGTCCCTCGGCTGCACCAGCTGTCGTGTGTGGAGTGGATCGAGAGTTGCAGGAACCTGATACTGCTGCAGATGGTCCCAAGCAGAGACCTGCGGCTGCCGGGGGCTGTAGGAACACACTCTGTTTTAGTGGCTTTCTGGGGCTTGAAGGAAACCTGCTGATCTCCTTCGGAGGAGAGGGCTGGGCAGGAACATGTTCTTCCCTCTGCCTGGGCTGTCACGGCCTCTGCCGGGCATGCAGCCCTTGGTGTCTTCTCTGCCATGGGCACGTAATACAGCTGGCTGTCCTGCAGCTCTGAAGTTTTATGGGCTGATTCACGGGGGTTTGTGGAAATGGGAGAAAACCACCTGTAGTTGCTGGAAAGATGCTGCCCCTGTATAGCCCAGGGTATCACTCTTGGCAGGCCAAACAGTATGCATAAATTTGTTTTCTTGTCTTGCAGCTGAGCTTGGTCCTGACTCGACGCAACCCTCAATGCTACTATTTCCTCTGCTCCACAGAAGATAATTGAAGGATGTTTCTCTCCTGCCTGATGTCAGTCTACTTAAGTACAGCTTGACTGCTCTTGGGGTGTGAGCCAATACCCCATGCTGCCTCCAGTTGGATGAATGGAACTAGATCAGCTGGGAAAACCCATCTCTGTTTTAACCTTCTATGTGACTCTTTGGCTTTTTTTTTTTATCTGTCTCTGCTATGGAGATGGGATACTGTTGCTCTGCTCCCTCTCTCCCTTTCTTCTTTCTCAAGTGTTGGAAGAGAGGTATCTGCAGGGCTTTTGCCCTGCCGAGCTGGCAGGGCTTTTGCTACATGATGAAGAATTTCTACTTTTTTGGCTTTTGGTGGCTGGGTGGTGGGAGAGAGTGAGCTCAACGGAAACTTGGTAAAAGAATCAGTGTTTGAAAGGAGGGCAATGGGCAGATCCTGAGTGTGAGGAGACTGCAAGGACCACTTGTCACCCTGTTGGTGTCAGCTATGGGTGAAGTCTTCCCCTCTTGCAATGCAGCCTCTGTCCCTCTACAACATCTGTTTTGAGGGACCTCCATCTACAGTGTACATCAAATCACATTCAACTTAGTCCTGTTTTTTTTTTTCTTTAGTTCCCAGATCATCCTTGAATCACAGTTACATACCCATGCCACAATGTTCCTACTACTTTTTGGTCTTGACAGTGGCAATAGCAGCTTTGTTTCAAATAGCTGCTGCCTTCCTCTCCCTGTCTAACATGGGTTGGAGGTCTCTTTTCCCATCCCAGGTGAGAAGTGCTGATCACTGGTATTATCTCCATTCTTTGGGAAAGAGATTTGCTTGTTCTCTAACCTGTGGGCTCCAGTGCCAGCGACTGAGACACTTCTGAATGTCGGAGGTGGTGGGCATGTTGATAACCTGCCTGCTATGCTTCTGGAGGTGGACAGGATATCTGGGAAATGGCTGCTTCCCTTATGCTGGAAGCTGCCTTGATGAAAAAGCATCCTAATAAGTTGTTTGGGGAGGTCAGGGCTTGCAGTGAACATGGGAAAACTGAGCCCTAAATAGTGGTATTCTGGCCTTGGACCTGAGATCTGTAAATCAGCTTCCAGGGCTGTTTCTGAGCTCTCCCACATCTTCATATTTCATGGTGTTAGCATGTTCCCCATCCCTTCTTTAAGTCTTATCCTGCCCTCTTCCCGTGTCAACATAATTTTGCAACTTGTTTCTGCTCTCGGAGTGAGGGCAGTTTCTCTCTTCCTGCATCAGTTTCCTTTCTGCTTATATTTACCGTGTGTCCTGGATTATTATTTTTTTTTTGTAAGCATTTAATAAAATTTGAGAAAGATGTTGTAATGATGGCAACTCTGAGGATTTTGTTGATATAGGAGTTCCTGCAGGAAAGCTGTTTTCCAAGACCTTGCAGCTCTCTGCTTGAGTGGAAGGTAGAGAAGAAACATCAGGCTGAGTGACAAGAAGAAAAGGAGCATGATGTATGCAGGAAAGGGGTTTTCTGTGTGCCTGCCCCGTTTAGGAGATCCTTGTCATCTTGCTGTTGAAGGTAATTGGGAGTGCCTTGCTGCAGGACTAGTGGGGGAAAGCAATGCTTTCCTGGTCCTGTATCTCTTGGCTGTCTCTGTTCCTTGTGCTGCCATGTTCCCAAATTACCCATCCCAAATTACCATCCCCTCAGTCGGCCAACGATGCCCAAAGATAGGGGCTGGAACTCCCATGTGGGCTCTCAGTACTCTGACCTTGAGGCACACCTCTGGGTGTTGCTTCTCTCCAATTTCTTCTTTCCCTGTGCTGTATGTTTATAAGCATGCAAAAGGGGAACATCCTTTTGTACAGCATCCACTATTAAATGAACCTTTGGGAGCTACAGTAATACTGAAACAGGCTGCTTGCCTTTCTGTAAGAGGATTCAGGGCTGCTTTTTCCCCAACAAGCTTAAACGGATGATTCTACATGAGGGTATGTGAGATGGGATTGAAAAACATGGCCCGTGACTATCGCAATGTCTATTTCCTGCAGGCCATACACCAGCATTATTTAAACTTGGGGAAAGCTTAGCTGATGGAAAACTCAAGTCTGTTTTGAATCTTGTGTTTTTATATAAAGCACTTGCTCTGCCTAGAGACCAGGGGCTGGACTTCATCTATTTCTCCTTCCAAATATAAAATAATTATAGGCTCATTTTTATAACTATCTTTATGTACATGAGCTGGCTAATTAACAGATCTGTTCAGCTTGCAGCTCTGAACTGAGCCTCCAGTAAGGTGGTGGACAGGAGGGTCTAAAGTTTCCAAATGACTTTCTTCCTTGAAATGTGTCTGCAGTTTCTGCTCTTTGAAGGAAAGGTCAGACTCGAAGACACCTGGGCCTGAATGTCAGAGCTTTCCCTGCCAACACAATCAACTTTGGGAAGGAAAATAAACAAGCTCAAAGAGCGGGGCGGCTATAAATAATGAGGTGGCAGCTGATATGCTACTGAACAAGGTTCTGAGGTTGGTCTATTGGTAGCTCTTGCCAGCTCAACACACTTTTGCTAATGCTGCATGATACTTATTTTTTAAAGCAGGGAGGGAATGGATCTGACAGTGACAAAAAGTGCAATTGGAGCTAGCATTTGCTTCAGAAATGATGGACTTGTAAGAAGGATCCTGATAATGAGACAGACTGCAAGTGATTTCCCTGTGATTTTTGCATTGGGTCCCCTGAGGGTTTTGCTTGCAGTGGAACAATTTGATTTAGATCATAAATTTCATGAAAGGTGCTTAATCTCTTCACAATAACTTTAAGTAGTAGTCATTTAGCAACGCTAAAAACATGCACTCTTAATCCTTCAAATTAATAGGGGGAAAAAGAAAGTGTCATGGTCTTGGGGCTTTTCAGGGTGATTTGAAGAACAAGGGGGGAGGTTGAAACAAAGTAAGGGGAAAAAATGCTTGCTCATATAAATTCCAAATATATTAAAACATGCAAGCAGCAAGATGTTTGGTTGGTTAAGTAGTCCTTCCCTGAGATTGTGGAGAGACTGTGGGTGGCTGGTCTCCTGCCTTGCTCACCTTCTCTTGGGAAAGCCCAAACCAGAAGTTCCAGACACTGTTCCTGGCTCCCTCTTGCTGCTTGGGCTTCATCCTCTCTGTCTGTCTTATCCATTTATGTGTAAATATCCTGAGGATGAGCCCCTGGCTATGTCTTGAGCTGTCCAGCCTGATCCTTTATCTTCAGAGAGGCAGGTAGCCTAGATCTAGAGTGTTCAAGGAGGATCTCCATAATCCCACAGGGATTGTGTTTTAGATGTCTAAAGCAGATGGAGCAAGCACATTTCCCAAAGCAAACAGCTGAGTGATGGAGCAGCAATCTACCACAAAAATCAGGAATCAATATTAACTGAGAAAAGATGGAATTCAGTACTTACTGATGTGTAATTTGTTTCCATCTGCAATCACTTGCATGTTGGGTGCATTTTGTTACTTGGTTTGGTTTACAAAATTACAGGTCATTGTTCCTTTAAGATCATTTCGGGTGTTGTTTTCTTGCTATGTTTAGATCCCTGTAGGTAAATTCAAAACATCAGATGGAAAAGAGTATTTACAGTGTCCAATAAGTACAAGAGGTTTCTCAAAAATAAATAAAGTGACTCCTTTTTGAAAGCAAGAAAAGTTCCATCAACTAAAATTAGCATTAAGAGGGGCTATCAAGTAACACCATTGCATGCTCCCAGCTTTGGCCCTGCAAAGTTCAGCATCTAAACTACTGAAGAGGTGAAGGGCAGATGATGGTGATGTTGCCAGGACAGATATTCTAGCAGAGTAGCTCAAGGCAATGAAACCAGTTGGAGGCTTTTCAAGTTTTCCGGTTAGATTTACTGTTTTGCAAAAGTCAGGGTTGCAAAATGCAAATTTGGAGCTATGCTTTGGTTGCTGCTGTCCCCAGAGAGGAACAGTGCAAATTCTGTCCATCCCTACTTGTTCCTGGCGAGGGATGTGCTGTATGCGGACCATGCAAGTGCGGAATGTACTTGTGCTGGGAGCAGAAGGGATTTAAAGTTGATCAGTTTGGTGAATTTTGGTTGGGGATTTGCATGTAGTTTGACTTGAAAATCAGGGCAGAGACAGCTAAAGTGAGCTGGTAAAAATGGCACCAGTACCCACCTTTGCCCTGGCTACACATGCGAGCTGCCTAAAAGCCATGTTATTTACCACCTCTTGGCCCTGGGTGTTTCATCCCCCTTTCCAGCTGTCATCCCAGTTTGGGCTTTGGTTTTTCACAGTGTTTTAGGAGCCTTTTAGTGTGGGTGCCAAGGCAGATGGTAGATTACACGTGCTTACAGGGGAGATAGGGATATGCAAGAGCAGTTTCTCTGGAGGTCTCCAAAACAGCTTTTCACCTGGCTTAAGCCTGGTCTGTTCCATCTGGCTTTTGGAATGCTGATGAGCTATGCCGGAAAGTCAACTCTGAAGGCAAATTCTTGCTTCTCCAGTACCACCCTGCTAAGACTTGTTGCTCATTGACCCTGTGGGGTAATGTATCTCTAATCTAACTTTGAGTCCTTCTGTCATGGATCCAAGATAGCAAAGCATCCTTCATTGCTATGGCCCATCTAATGAGACCAGTTCTTATGGAAGGGATGCAGATGCGTTTTTGGGTTGGTGTTGGAGGTGAGGTTTCCATTTGCTTCCTCCCTCTCTGTATCCCTGATGACTGATGAGATCACACTTGGCTCTGCAGGACACACTGCTCCTTAGAGCAGCGCTGACCTGTGGAAAGATTGCAGGGTAGCTGCTCAATCCTACATGCAAATACCCTAATGCAATTAATTCCTCTTTGACTGATGACTTCAACAACTCAAAACTTCCATTGTCTTTTAGGACTGCTAGTGACTTTATGTGTCTCTAACACTGAAAACTTTGCTGGGGAAAAAAAAAACCAACCACCAGATAATGACAACCAGAGCCAACCCAACCGGAAACTTAGGAAAAAAAGCTATTATGAATAAGAAAACTTCAACAGAATTTAAAATGCCTGAGGACATGTTGTATCCTGGTCTGCCACTGTCACCACTGAAACTACACCAGCCTAATGAGTTTATTTGCAGCATGCACTGTATGAAGGATGCACAGGGCTGGCTTCTCCTTGCATCTGGTGCTGAAGTAGGAGGTGTTCAGATCCCTCCCTATTTCTTATGCAAATATATAGAGTTTCTGCTCTTACAGGCAAAGAGTGGATAAGACAGGCTGAGAGAGTTAGGGTGGTTCAGCCTGGAGAAGAGAAGGCTCCAGGGAGATCTTATAGCAGCCTCCCAGTACCTAAAGGGTGCCTACAGGAGAGATGGGGAGTGACTCCTTATCAGAGAGTGTAGAGGGGTAATGGTTTTAAACTGAAAGAAGGGAGATTTTGATTACATACTAGGAAGAAATTCTTTACTGTGAGGGTGGTGGGACACTAGAACAGGTTGCCCAGAGAAGCTGTGGATGCCCCATCCCTGGAAGTGTTCAAGACCAGGTTGGATGGGGCTTTGAGCAACCTGGTCTAGTAGGAGGTGTCCCAGCCCATGGAAGGGTGGTTGGAACCCAATGATCTTTAAGGTCCCTTCGACTCTAACCATTCTATGATTCTAAGGTGGGGGCAGATTCTCCTACTGATTGAATTTCACAGAAGAGATGACACTCTAGAGTCCTCTATGAAGGTCTTGATTGACTCCTTCCCTCCAGGTGCAAGGAAGAGAAGAGAGGTATCAGGAAGGCGGATGGAGGTATATATAGGTAATTTGGTAATTAGTTAATAAGAGAAAGGCTGTTTGTTGCCCTTTAGTCTCCTTTTTTATGCCCCTGAGTGTGAGATGTCATGCAACCTCATCAGGAGAAGGTGTTGGTACCCTGAGGCTCCTCAGCCACCCTGCAGGATTCAGGTAGGTGAACCCACAACAGAGTGAATACTTGCTCTCCCCTGTATCTGAGCAGCTGCTGCAAGAGGTGCATCGCTGTGCGTGGCAAGCACTGCACCAAGTCTCTTCTAGCTCAGGGAGGGATGGAGATTCCAAACCCAAATGCTAGGTGAGAGTATTAGAAGAGCTGAGAAGGAAGCCTGGTCTTTGCTTGGCCTGTTGGAGTTGTGTTTTGTATTCCTCAGGACCCTGTCATTGCCTGTCAAATGGCAGCAGTCTACTGACACTTAAATAGAGGAGCTGATTTTAAAGTTTAAGGCAATTCTGATCTCTGCTAGACTGACTGCATAAAACAGGTCATTGGTTATCTAGGAAGACAAAATAATTAATTATATATATGTATATTCTGTCCTTTCTCTGAGCGTACCTGATCTGCTTTTTTATTAGCAACTGCTTCAATTAAATTGGACAGTGTTTTGGTGAGTGTAGGGCATCTATTCTGACCTTAAACTGTTGATTAAACCCCACTGCAGAAACTCTTTGGAGTGGTATAAAGAGAGGAAGTGAGGGAAATGGATAAGAGGTTAGTTTTCCTTCCCAAAAGGCTTTTGTGATTCCAATTTCCCACCTGCCCTTAATCATGGTAAAAGGTTTATAATTGAAAGTGTCACAAAACAGAAAAACTCATCCCTGCCTTTTTCCAGTCAGCTTAATCAACAAGTTCTTATGGATAACTTCAAGTGTTTCAGTGCTGATATCTATATAAGCGGACAAATGCACCAAAACCAGAACAGCTGTATCATGCAAAAAAATTCAAAAGACATTTTTAAAGCATTCAAATATACTTCAGAGGGGGAGGAAAAAAAGAGGATATATTCAGACTGTGAATGATGGAACAACTCGAGTAAACCACATTTTTCTGGCAAACAATTTCTCTTTGGATACCTTAACTGTTTTGGGATGAAAGATGTGGAAGTTACTCTGTAGCTCTAGTATGAAGGTGTAAGTACCGAGTCATGGGCAAGTTTGGGTGAGGAAGGACTTCAGGAGGTCCTCTGGCCCAACTTGTGTGCCAAATCAGGATATGTTTCCGTATTAGATCAGTTTGCTCAGTGTTGGTCAGCAGTAGGTGATACAGGATAGGTACTGGGCTTTTTTCAGGAGTTAGATCTCTCCTGGGTTGTTTTACGGGAAGGATGTAGCTGATCTTACAAACTCTGTTGTCTTTAATGATTGTGAAGCTGTAGAGGTTTTTAGATGCACTTTTACAGTGCTTTTTCAGCTCGCTGCCTGGGCGCCGTCCAACTGTAGGAGGCAGTGATCCATGGGAATGCTGCCCACTGACTGGTGTGCAATGAGCATGGGGGGTGAGGGTATAAAAAAATAGAGACAAGCATTTGGCCAAAATGCCCATCTTTTACTCAATTTGTAAAATTATCGGGGCTGATGTGTGAGCACTGTATTTAAAGGCATCTCCTGTGGAGTGCACTGGCTGCTGCAACAGGTCAGCCAACAACCAGAAAAGGTGAAAAGGGCTGATTACAGCTTCCCTGCAAGTGGCCCTGCTATGCTGTATATTCCTGTGGCCCATCTCCAATAATCAGTCTGGGTGCTCCTAGCTACTGAAAAGAAATGCAATATTGGGTTAGGTTGCCTAGTGGAAACTTCTGTAGATCTCTGTCCCAGCCTCTGCTTCCTATTCAAGGAGGAACACTGGTTTGCTGTATCGTGTCCCAGGTGCAGATGCTGTCACCATCAGGCTTGGCTTGAGGTCAGCAGGCGGAGGGACTTTATGCAGATTGAGACCCTGGTTCATGTCTGTGACCTGCATGCATGCTCTCTTTGGCCTTGGTGCTGTCTTCTTCCCTGGCAGCTGGTGAGAGGGGCGTCTCCAAATGCAGGCGTTCACTGCACCCTTGCCTAACAAAATTTGATAGCTTTTGGAAGAAATGTAGCCACAGTTGGGGTCATCTCTCTCTCATCTGGTCCATGCGATCAGTAGAGAGCATGAGGTAGTTGGTGGTGGTTTGCTGGCTCTCTAGGCTGGGGTGGCTGCACTGCAGCAGTTCAAAGGCAAGTCCAAGTACACCTTGCTGCTGATGCAGGGAGAAGAGATGATGTCAAGACAGCACAAAAGATATATCCTAGAGCAGGATGCTCTACAGTAAAGAGAGGCAAAGCTAATGAAGAAAATGTAGCAGGTGGTGAATGAAACTGGTGTGCAATAGCATCAAGAGGTGAAATAAGGACTAGGTGTAGGGTATGTATGAAAAGCACTGGGCCCTTGGCTAAGTCCTGAAACAAACATTTGAGAGGATTATGTGCCAAAGCGGGCAGAAAGACCCACAAAGGGAAGAAAGGGCAAACATAAAATGAGCTGTGGGGAATGAGCCTCAGTTGTGAACCAGATGATAGCAGAACAAACAGAGGATGTGTGCATCAGATAAGCACTCCTCCAGAGGGATGAAGCAGATTCCCTTGGTCCTGGGGGAAGAGAGAACCGGATCACAGTGGGACTGGAGACAAGATGCGTGAACGTGAGCAGTCTGACAGAGGCAGCCCATAGGATGCACAGATGTCCTTTGGGACAGTACTAAGCAGATGGGCCATGCTTGCAGGTGGTGGTGGTGGGGAAGTTGGACCCATGGACATGACGTATAATGTAAAGACGGACATTGTCTGGAGCAGTTGCCCAACATGCCCAGATCGGGAACTGAGCTGAGCACAGCTGTGTGTATACAGGAGCTAAGGGGATGCTGGAAGGAGCAACATTTCCATCTCATCTATTTGAAAATAGAGCTGCAGTAGGTTGAAACATCTGGTTACCTGTCCCTCCCCTAGCCTGCATCAACCTCACATTTGTCAAGATGCTTAGAGGGGAATTTGAGTGATGTGGAGTGTTTCTCTGCTGCAGAGGCTGTGCAACCCTGCAAGATGCTCACACTGCTCCTGCCAAAGGGCCAGGTGGGGCCATGGGAGTGTTCAGCCTCACATCTGCCGAGAACCACCCAGGCTTCACACGCACTTGCACACACACATACATTGCCCTTTTAACTGATTGATCCAGTCCTTGGTGTGTGAGACCAGAGTCTCGCTGCCCTGTCAGCAGCAGGGACACTCTATAACTGGGAGGCAGGTGAAGGAGGCTGGTGAATACCATTGCCAAACTTGGTCCACAGCAAACATAAAAGGAGAAACAGCTGGGGGACTCCCCTCCCACGCATCCCCACTCTGCTGCCAGTTTGGGCAAATACAGTATTTCTTGGCGATGTGCCCCCTTGGTGCAGTGCCTGAGGAAAACGAGCCAGTGGAAGGTGGCAAAAATGCTTGATGGTGCCGAAAATGCAGCGTGAAGGCTGGTTTGCTGCGTTAGCACCTTCGGCGGAGCTGGGGTTGGGGAGTGGAGGCCACAATCCCTGGTCTGGCTGCGTGTCCCCATGCAGATGCCACTCTCCTCGGCAGCATTGGGATGCCCACCCTGGCTCCCCCACCCAGAAAACTCCTCACGGCCACAGGCAGGGCTCTGAGGAGGAATGCAGTGTCCCCCTCCCGAACGATGAGTTACAAAAGCATTGGCAGGAGCTGGGATGCAGAAGGGAGGTGAGGGGATAAGCTGCCGGACGGCTGGAGAAGACAAGCTGGAGAGGGGATTGTGGCTCGTGCATGTTACCTGGTGAATGGGAGGCTGCGGCGCTGGGCTCCTGCTCCACGGCTTTAAAAGCTCGTCTCTACATCCTCGGTTGGGGACCCCTTCCTGCAAGTGGCAGGGAAAGAGTGGGCAGGAATCGATCTGTGACCCGGGCCAAAAATACCGCCTGCCCCTGCGGCTCCTAAAGGTTTTCTCTGCTCCTACAGGCTGTGAGAAAGGGGGTGCTGGAGCTGCCAGGCACAGCGGAGGTCATGCTCCGCACCGCCGGGGAGCCCTGCCAAGGGCAGAGGGGTGGGAGGGAGGGGATGGGGAGCTGAAGCCTGCGAGGTTTAGTGAAATGGAAACCATGAGCCAGAGGGTTGTACTGAGGCACTGCAATCCTCTGCTGGCACAGTCGTGCAACTGCGGAGGGTGCTCGGGCGGCAAAACCCCTCCGGGCACCTAGAGGATCCTACGCGGGGTCCAGCCATCTGGGGTTTGCCCTGCCTAAGGTGTCCTTACTTAAATGATGCTTTTGCGCCATGCTAAGAAGGGTAGCTTGAGGTCAGACAAACTCTCTTGCTGCGTGCCTACTTTCTGTTCCAGGTCTCCTCAAGCTCTGATGTGTGGCAGAGCCCTGGTAGCCTGAGCAAGAGGTAGGTGTGTGCCACACACTGCTCACAAACACACAATGCAACATGTGTGCTACGTGCTTCTGACTTCTCACCTGCCCTGTGACTGCTCATTTCAAAGAGTGTTGGGCAGCAGAAGGTCCCCAGGCCCTCCATGGGCTCTAACTCTGCAGAGCAACCAAAGCTATTTACATGTAGAGGGGCGGCAGGGAAGAGGTCCTGCTTGGCCAGGAGAGCAGGAGCTGCTGCTGTGTGTTGAGATTGCAAGAGCCAGGGTGCCACGACCAGGTTTTAAGCAGCGACCGTGCACCGTGGAGCTGTGGGAGCCCCACAATTTGTTTCTGAGGTGCCTTTGCCTCAGATACCCCTCTTTAAGCTCTGCCTGCCTGGTGGGGTTGTAAATATAGAAACATAAGCCCTGTGGTTTTTTTTTTTCTCCAAATATGTCCCTCCCATCTTAGCATCATCTGTGCAATTCTTCCAGCTGCTCCTATACATGGTATGACCTTTTTTTTCCCCTTCCCTTGCTCTCCCCTCCCACTCCCTCCATCCCACCCTGCTCTCTTCCCTGTTCAGCGCAGGGGTCTGGGGCCAATCAGCTCCTCCAGATGATCAAATGTCACTATAAGTTGACAGCTGCATCACCTTGGGACGCTCGCAGATCCCAGCCTGCCTGTCCCCTTCAGCAGGGAGCTCCGTGCTTCTCTCCACTCCTCCCAGGTAAGTGGGAGCCCTGGTGAGGGATGCCAGAGAATAAAACTGCAGAGGGGCTGAGCCTTGGTTTGACTAGAGAAGCATCAGGGGAGGACTGGGGTATACTAGATCCAGGACAGGATCCTAAGGAAAAGGCAGTTTTCCTTCTTGGCTTTTGCTAGGATTTGTGTGAGGCTCATGCCACTTGTGGAGATTTGGGTGCTCTGAACCCAAGGATTAGTGGTGGGAGAAAAGACCCTTCCAAAACTAAGGTCCAGGCTGGGAACCAAGTGGCATCTCTCAGGGCATTTGGGAAAACTCGATCCAGCAGTGGGAAGGAAGTGCTGTCCTTCCCTCTCCTGTCATCTGGAGAAAGGGATGGCCAAGGCAGGAGGGATGAAGGGCAGGATGATCACGGAGGCGCCGTCGGGCGAGGAGGGCTTTGGGGTTTGGGGCTAGAGGGAGACCTGAGAACCACAAATGTAGTTATGGAAAACTGCCCCCTTCCACAGAAAAGAAGAAAACTGGGGAGAGAAACACAGTCTGCCAGAAACTACCCAGCAGTTCAGAACACAGGGAGGAGGCAGAGGGATGGAAGAAATATGGATTTTAAAAAACATCTGTACATACTCTTTACATAGAAAAGTATATGTATATATTTACGTGTTTAATACACGTATTTTTTAATATATGTATATCTGTGTATAAAATAATAGATTCAGTGGGTTTGCGGCAGCTCCTGCTGGGAAGGTGTGGCCATGGGGTGCTCGGTGGATTATACCCCTAGTCCTTGCCTGATAGCCGTCCCTGCCAGCTCCCATCACCCATGCATGGCCACTTTCGTCCTTCCCCCTTTCTGTATGGCTCTTGCTACCTTGCCTCCTTGTATGGCCTGGCTTGGGAGGGGGTGATTGACAGGTGGGTTATTTCCAGGGATGGCCTGGAGGTGCAAGGCAGCCCATTCCCCCTCCCGGGTGCATTCTCAGCTGCTAAGAGGCTTCTTGGGATGTGCTGGCTCTGCTCTTTCAGGCAAGGGCAGGAGCATTTGGGGCCAAAAGGGACGTGGCGTTCCTGCCCACCTGGGGCTAATGAGGATTGGGATATTTGTCCTTCCAGCCATGACCTGTTTAGCTTGAACAAAATGCAGAAAATAACCTTTGCTTTCACCTTTAAGGGGTGGGAGCAGGCAGGAAGTTTTTGGTCTGGTGAAACTTTCCCATGTGTTTTGATTTCCTTCCAAATGGTGGGCAGTATTAACTAATTGATTTTATTGCATCCTTAAACCTCAGACAGGAGCAGACCCCATTTTTCTGCCACTGTACAAACAGAATCCAGTTATAGCCTAAAGGTGCTAACAGCCTAAATCTTCGGCTGCGTTTGCTGTATGTAAAGTAATTTCCACCAAAGGGTAATCCCGAGCCAGCTGGAGACTTTCCATTGCCTTCAGTGAACTTAATCCTGATGGCAAAAAATACTGCTCTTAGCGGATTGCTTTCTTTATTGCCTTCTGGATGTAAATATTGTTTTGTTTTGTTGGCTGCTTTGATGACAGTTAGCTACGTGGACAGTACTGGGCATCAAAGAGCCCTTCTCGTCTTGGGTGGCTGGTGCTACTATGGTCTGTGTTTTGTCCCTGGCTTCAAGGGGCCAGATGGCTTTTGAATGCCTCAAAGCAGACAGACACCTCGTTCTTCTTGAGGCGAGACCTTTTTGGCTTTCCAGCCAGGGCAACGGCTGGAAAGGTACAACTTTAAATGCCAGTTCCTCCTGACAAAGTGACCAAACTTGGCTGAACGTTTGGCCCTTGCAAGGCTGAAATCTGCACCTCCCCCTGGATTTTTTTTTTTTTTTTTTTTTTGTCCCCCCTGTCCAAGCCTGTGGAGTTTCTGCATCTGGCTCATCTCTGCACAGAGTCTGCCAATGCACTTGTTATTAATTCATTTTATCCGGGGCCCAGAAACCCCCTCAGGGTTGGGGTCTTATGGTGTCAGGGATGCTGGCATTCTCGCTCGGCGTTTATAGCACGTGGACAGATGCCATGTAAAATCCCATTCGCATTTGCAGCGCTTGGATTACCTAAGGTGTCGGATCTGCGTAAACTGGTTCCTGCAGCGGAGCCAGTTGCTATTGTTGTGGGAGCTTTTGCCCATGGCTCGGTAAGTGCAAGTATCCCTTACTTAGAGTTGTAAAAATCTTTATCAGCCTAGATTTCAGCCTTGTTCTGAGTGTGGGTGTGGGGTTTTTTGTTTGTTTTTTTTTTTTTTTTTTTTTTTGTCCCCCCTGTCCAAGCCTGTGGAGTTTCTGCATCTGGCTCATCTCTGCACAGAGTCTGCCAATGCACTTGTTATTAATTCATTTTATCCGGGGCCCAGAAACCCCCTCAGGGTTGGGGTCTTATGGTGTCAGGGATGCTGGCATTCTCGCTCGGCGTTTATAGCACGTGGACAGATGCCATGTAAAATCCCATTCGCATTTGCAGCGCTTGGATTAACAAATATGGAAGGGCGTAGGGGAACAGCCAATGTGACAACCCTCAGCAAGATGTCCTTAGAGCTAAATTGGAGACTAGATGAGCTCATTCCAATAATTGTTAATGGAAAGCCTGATTGCAAAGACTCCCATTGACTTCAATTGCCTTGGAAAGAACAGCATGCGCTGCATTACGTGCCTATCCTACACTGAACAGACGTTTGCTCTCTGCACACATACGCAGGGCTCTCAAGCTGATTTCTTCTCCAGCATTGAGCAGTATTACTCTTCTTGCCACTGGAGTGAGAGGAAAGAAGAATTTAGCCCAAAGCCCTTTAAAAGTCCCTTTTCTTTTTTGCCTCCACCTTGGCAAGAAGGAAATCTGGATTTATAAATTGAAGGCAGAATCTGTGGGAGGACTGGTCATTGCCCCGAGTCTTTAGAGATCGTGCATTTTGGAAGGAGCCAACAGCTGGGCATCTGGCAGGTTCCCTCTACGGGCTTTTGCCAAGTGAAGCTCTGCTGTCCCGCTGCGTAAACCAACATACTGTCAAGCGTTATTACTAATTGCTTGAATAATTTTTGGAGGCTGAAATGAGATTGCAAACTTATACTGCTAGCCACTGTGCAGAGAGCAAGTGGAAATCTTTATCCTGAAGATTTTATGATCTAGGTAAAAAAAGACCAGGGGAAAGAAATCAGAGGTGTTGTAGCATCCAAGTAACAGAAGAAGCAGCAGGAATTGATGCAGCAGAAAAGCCATTTAGGGACTTGAAATTCCTTCCAAACACGAAATTCCTCCAAGATTCCTCCTGTCTGGTGGGGTTAGAGTCCCCAGCATACTCCTTGGGATGGCTCTTGCACTTGAAGACTGGGCAATCACAGCTACCAAGTCAAAAGCAGCCAAGAGATCATTGAACACAAATCTTAGGTGTCCTAGAAGTAGAATCACCCTCCTGTCCAGCTACTCAGATCAGGTCATAACGCAGCCATTGCTGGCACTACTTCCAGGGTGATGGTGAATTTCAGAAAGAGGATAAAGAAGGAACAAGAGGAAAAAATGCTGGCTGTTTGTCGCTGTTTAGAACACAGGGTTTTAAAATCCCGTTGGTGTTAATGCATGGTGCCCAGGGTCATTGCTGGGGAATGGAGAGGATCCCTTATAGGGCAGGGTTGGAGCCTATGGGATTACTGCCTTCCTCTGAAATAGAAAGCTGCTGAGCTGCAGTTGTTCGTTTTGAACCTAAGTCAGCCCACCTGCTCCTTCAAGACGTCTCACATATATCAGCTGAGTAATGAAGTAATGAAAGCCATGGTTAGAGTTGCCCAGCAAGGAGGGGCCTGGCTTTCTAATTTAAGACCCACCGTGGA